TTGTGCGTTTATATATATATATATATATATATATATATATATATATATATTTACATTACATTTACATTTAGTCATTTAGCAGACACTTTTATCCAAAGCGACTTACAAATGAGGACAACAGAAGCAATCAAAATCAACAAAAGAGCAATGATATACAAGTGCTGTAACAAAAAAAACATTTAAAAAAAAAAAGTTGACTAATAGTTTATAAATATGAATGATTCATTAACACCCCTAATTATAAATCATTACAATTTCATGCAGTAAAAAAATAGATAAACATAACTAAAAAATAAAATAAGGTATACCATCCTACACCTATGAGAGACATTTTATCCTCATAATTAAGCTTAATTAGTCCATTTATAATAGATTAATCCATTTAATAATCACAAGTGGACATTTATGCAGTTCATTTATCATAAATGAATCATTACCATCCCTAATTAGGGCCTCATTCCTGCATACATCTCTATTTAGGTTACTTGCAGGCCTTTCTGATACAAATCTGTGCCTTCAGTGCAGTGGATGAAAGCGCTGATGTGAGTGTCCTGACCTGTGCCGGGCCTGCTGCCCCCTGCAGGCGGCCTGAAGCGTGACGGCGGCACTGTGTCTGTGTCTGCAGCTCCTCCAGACGGCCTGAATGAGGCGCGCGGCTGTGTGTCGCGTCTGCAGGACTCTCCTCCAGCACGTCTGGATGACTAGCGCTGCTCTCCTCCGCCGCAGGTACAGCTGTCGCTCTCTGAAGCCTCTCCAGGACGCCTGCAGACGCAGTGCTGCCCCCTGCTGGAGCTCCGCGTCAGATCGAGTCAGACAGTCCCGCCACCAGTGCTGAGAAACACACACAACCCTGCTTACTGCGCTGCACAGACTGCATACTACTTAGTAAAATAATACGTGATGATATATGATAAATAGCTGACTCTATAGACAGTTAAGCTCCCCTTTACTTTTTATTTGTGACCCCGGAGCACAAAACCAGTCATAAGGGTACATTTTTCAAAAGTGAGATGTATGCATCATCTGAAAGCTGAATAAATAGCTTTCCATTGATGTACGGTTTGTTAGGATCGGACAATATTTGAAAATCTGGAATCTGAGGGTGCAAAAAAATCTAAATATTGAGAAAATCATCTTTAAAGTTGTTCAGATGAAGTTCTTAGCAATGCATATTACTAATCAAACATTAAGTTCTGATATATTTACAGTAGGAGATGTACAAAATATCTTCATGGAACATGATCTTTACTTAATATCCTAATGATTTTTGGCATAAAAGAGAAATGTATAATTGTGATCCATACAATGTATTGTTGGCTATTGCTACAAATATCCCCCAGCGACTCAACACTGCTTCTGTGCTGCAGGGACAGATTTAAAAGGTATATTTTGATATTTTGTACATGTTTTTTTAATAATGAATGCATACATTTTTACAGGATATATTATAGTATATATTTGTAACTTAATTTATATATTTTTAAAACTTTAAATAATTTAAATGATTTAAATAATCAAACACTGTTGTATACAATACAATTTATATATTTTTAAATAGTTTATATATTTTTAAATGCACATTATTATTTTATATATTTTATATCTCTTTATATACTCTTTTAAAACATTAGTACCATGTTTTTTAATTGTAGTAAAATCACAGTGATGCACATCCCCTCATGGACAACTGCTTAATGTATACCACACTAATAATATGAATAAATACCACTTTAGAGACAAAGCAGTGACAGTAAGAGCCCAATGTGGGGTTTTTGTACCTGTATGATTCGAGCGGCTCGTCTCTGTCTGCAGAAGCGTCTCCTCTCCTGCTGCGTCCTGAAGCTCCTCTGCAGACACACGATCCTCCGCAGCACCTCCTGATGAAGCTGCTCCTGCAGACGCTGCCGCAGACGCTCCTGCAGAAACACCTGAGACACAGCGATCGGCATCACGAGACAGTGGGAGTGTGTGTGTGTCTGTGTGTGTGTGTGTGTGTGAGAGTGTGAGAGAGAGTGTGTGTGTGTGTGTGTGTGTGTGTGTGTGTGAGAGTGTGAGAGAGAGTGTGTGTGTGTGTGTGTGTGTGTGTGTGTGTGAGAGTGTGAGAGAGAGTGTGTGTGTGTGTGTGTGTGTGTGTGTGTGTGAGAGTGTGAGTGTGAGAGAGTGTGTTTATGGCCTAGTATTTTATTTTACTTGCTTTATTGTGTTTTAATGAATATATATATATTTTTTTTTAAGTATATCATTTTTAAAATAAAACCCAATAAGCCAATAAAATGAATAAATACCAGGTAAAATGAGACTCAAATGCAGTGTGTACCTGTATGAGTTGAGCGGCTTGTCTCTGTCTGCAGAAGCGTCTCCTCTCCTGCTGCGTCCTGAAGCTCCTCTGCAGACACACGATCCTCCGCAGCACCTCCTGATGAAGCTGCTCCTGCAGACGCTGCCGCAGACGCTCCTGCAGAAAAACCTGAGACACGATCGGCATCATGAGACAGTGTGAGTGTGTGTGTGTGTGTGTGTGTGTGTGTGTGCGTGTGTGCGTGTGAGAGAGAGAGAGAGAGAGAGAGAGAGAGAGAGTGTGTGTGTGTGTGTGAGAGTGTGTGTGTGTGTGTGTGAGGGCGAGAGATGTTTGACAGAATCTAATAAAGCCAGCCAGCAGAACTGTTAAACTCTACTGCTCCTGCCCGCAGACGCTCCTGCAGAAACACCTGAGACACAGCGATCGGCATCACGAGACAGTGTGAGTGTGTGTGTGTCTGTGTGTGTGTGTGTGTGTGAGAGTGTGAGAGAGAGTGTGTGTGTGTGTGTGTGTGTGAGAGAGAGAGAGAGAGAGAGTGTGTGTGTGTGTGTGT